AGGATGGCTCTGCAGAGGGATCTGGACAGGCTGGACCGATGGGCCGAGGCCAGTGGTATGAGGTTCAACAAGGCCAAGTGTTGTTCCTGCACCTGGGTCACAACAACCCCATGCAGTGCTACAGGCGTGGGGAGGAGTGCCGGGAAAGCTGCCTGGTGGAAAAGGACCTGGGGGTGTTGGCGGACAGCCAGCTGAATATGAGCTGGCAGCGTGCCCAGGTGGCCAAGAAGGCCAACAGCATCCTGGTTTGTATCAGGAATAGTGTGGTGAGCAGGACTAGGGAAGTGATCGTCCCCCTGTACTCGGCACTGGTGGGGCCCCACCTCGAGTACTGTGTTCAGTTCTGGGCCCCTCACTACAAGAAGGACATTAAGGTGTTGGAGCCTGTCCAGAGAAGGGCTACAAAGCTGGTGAGGGGTCTGGAGCACATGCCTTATGAGGAATAACTGAAGGAACTGGGGCTGTTTAGCCTGGAGAAGAGGAGGCTGAGGGGAGACCTTATCACCCTCTACAGCTACCTGAAAGGAGGTTGTAGAGAGGTGGGGGCTGACCTCTTCTCCCTGGTGACAAGTGATAGGACGAGAGGAAAAGGATTCAAGTTATGTCAGGGGAGGATTTCTTATTAGACTGAAAATTTTAAACTCAACCATTTCATGATCACTGCCGCCAAGACAGCCACATTTCCCATGAGTCCGTCTCTATTCACAAATGGCAAGTCTAGAAGGGCATATTTCCTAGTTGGCCTACTGAGTGCTTGTGACAAGAAGTTATTGCTCATATGAAGAGATATAAGAAGCTGAGAAATAGAGGCGAAGGAGGTGGGTTTTGTTTGGCCAGTTTTGCTTTTTTTTTTTTAAAGCAGGGATATCTCTCTTCCACACATTAAGACCCCATGCTTAGTAGACAGCCCAGATTAGGCTCCAGGATTAAAACATCATGTCTAGACACAATAGTTTTATATTTCAGCCCTCAGGCAGGTACGTAGAGCCCTGTGCCGCCCACCAGAAAGAGGGCTGCAAGAAACTGTGACTTACTTGTATACAGGTATATGGACACCCCTTCTCCTTCTGTCTGACTGGCATTCACTGCTGCAAATACTGTGAAATTATACATCGTCCCAGGGATTAACCCAGTAATTTCGACTTCACTGACATCGGACGTCAGGTTCCAAACAGAGGTACCATTTGCAACCTCTGTCCTGTACGTGTAGGAGGTGGAATCAGCATCGCTCACTGACCATGTTAAGTTGATAGAAGTCACACCAATGTATTTCGGCTTGAGACCATGGACTGGGCTGGGCTCTGCGAAAGGCAAGACAACAATCTGTCAACCTGCAAGAACATCTGCTCACAAACATGGACAGAAGAAACACAGGCACACCACTCCTTCACTCTCTTCACATCACTCATTGTTCAGCGTGCAGGACTACCCCAGCAACATCACCAGACGCTCCTGGAGGCTTTTGCATCAATGGACAGCTAAGAGAGAACTGAAGAAAAGTCATTCTGAGGGGGACTCTTCTCCCTTTGACACTCTAAAGCAGAAGCACAGGTCACCACCATGCCAGCGCTCCCAGGGCTTCCCTTGGTAATCTAGAGAGGTGGGCAGGAAAGATATGAGGATGGAGGAGAAGGTGGGGAAGGAAGATAATTAAAAACAAAACAAAAACATCAGGGCTCTATTTCTGCTGCACACTAACATCCCATCCTTTCCATATAGCCTAGATCAGGCTCCTGGACTAAAATATCATGTCTATAAAAATAGTATTGAACTACAAACCTCACATAGGTAGGCAGAGCCTTGAGCTGCACAGCAAAATACAGCCCACCAGAAACAGCTGCAAGAAACTGACTTACTTGTATACAGGCATATGGACACCCCTTCTCCTTCCGTCTGACTGTCATTCACTGCTGCAAATACTGTGAAATTGTACATCGTCCCAGGGATTAACCCAGTAATCTCGACTTCAGTGACACTGGATGTCAGGTTCCAAACAGAGGTACCATTTGCAACCTCTATCCTGTACGTGTAGGAGTTGGAAGCAGCGTCGCCCATTGACCATGTTAAGTTGATAGAAGTCATACCAATGTATTTCGGCTTGAGACCATGGACTAGGTTGAGCTCTGTGAAAGGCAATAAAACCAAAAAAAAATTTCTTTTAACTTGCAAGAATATTTGCTGACAAACACACAAAGCACTCTTCCCTCCACCCTACCCAAACAACAGATCTCTGTAAAACAATAATCAGCCTAGGAAAATCATAGAATCATTGACTGGTTTCAGTTGGAAGGGACCTTGAAGATCATTTAGTTCCAACCCCCTGCCATGGGCAGGGACATCTTCCACTTGACCAGGTTGCTCAAAGCCCCATCCAGCCTGGCCTTGAACACTTCCAGGGATGGGGCCTCCACAACTTCCCTGGGCAACCTGTTCCAGTGCCTCACCACCCTCACAGTGAAATTTTTTTTCCCCAATACGTATTCTAAATCTCAGTTCTTCCAGTTTGAAGCCATTACCCCTTTGTCCTATCACTATGTGCCCGTGTAAAAAGTCCCTCTCCAGCCTTCTTGTAGGCCCCTTTCAGATACTGGAAGGCTGCTATAAGGTCTCGCCGGAGCCTTCTCTTCTCCAGGCTGAACAACCCTAACTGTCTCAGCCTCTCCTCATAGCAGAGGTGCTCCAGCCCTCTGATCATCTTTGTGGCCCTCCTCTGGACTCACTACAACAGGTCCATGTCTTTCTTATGCTGGGGGCTCCAGAGCTCGATGCAGTACTCCAGGTAGGGTATCACTAGAGTGGAGTAGATGGGCAGAACCACCTCCCATCAAGCCATCCTTATACGTTGCAAGGCACATTTGCTACCTCTGTAATCTTCTCTTCCTCCAATTCCTTGAGTTTCATGTCATCTCAAGGAGTAAAATTGTCTAGGTGCAGCAGTGATTACTGTCCTGCCTCAGTATGTTTAAACTGTTGGAGCTGTAACCTAAAAAACCATAATAAGCAGGGAACAGAGCCCGAGTCTCACAGTGATAAAACTACCTCAAGGCCACGCAACAATCAGTGTTAAATTGCACTCACAGTCAGCTATACAGGTATATTTCTTTGGCCCATTCTCTATGCCAGTATAGCAGTTGGATCCACACCCCCACATGCTCTTTGCACTCTGGACTACAGTTCGGGCTTAAAAAGCTAAAGCAGTACAAAAGCACAAAACACCCTGAAGATTCAAATCCCGGTCACATTCCAAACCACTTACGTGTTACATTGTTATGATCACTTTTTGCGGTGTCGTATAGTGACACATCCATGGATGATCCTCCACCTACATAGGTTTTGTTCCCAATTGTAGAGTTTACTGATAAATTATCGTTACTACTGGTTCCTGTTTCCACAGTTACATTTTTTGAACTGCAATTCTCAGTGCCTGAAAGAAAGAATATAAAGCAATAAGTATCTTTACAAAACTTCTGGGTTTCCTATTTGCAAAAGTACAGCCGTTTATAAATATCACACACAGACCCGCAGTCACTTCTGTTTTCCCAGTTTGTTCTCCTACAGAAATTTCATTGCACATTTCTTGATTTTAGCACTTTTAACTTCTGTCAGATGACTTGATTTAGATTAAGAGATTGACACATTGTTTTTGGTCATTCACTGACTTTGCTCCTGGCTTGGATGAAAGCTACCATGATCGATATTTTTCAGAGCATTTTTATTTAAAAAGAACTGAACAAACCTGCAGCCACATTCTGCGTGTGTATTTTTTGCAGGCATTACCAGAAGCTAAGATTCTTTACTTAACCTGGCATAGCAATTTTGTCTCTTCCCCTCAGCGTACGAGCAAAGAAGTTCTCATACTCAAACAGCGTGTTCCCATAAGTAAGGAAGAGACATGGTATCTTTACAGAAAACAACTTTAGGTTGATACCGTGCAGCCCAAAGTGTGGAGAGAGTTGATTCTGGGCCTAAAATTTAAAGGCTAAATCATGCAAGTCTGATGTTCAATATTAAGGTAGAACTCATCTGCAAGTACTTGTCATTTTGGCACGTACAGCACTATACTGACTTCAGAAAATCCTTAAAGCATCACTTTGTGTGTCTTTTTTTGTTTTGGGGTTTGTTTGTTTTGTATTGCCTTTAAGTATATTTCCCAGTCTTCCTAAGCACATTATATCTGTAATTTATTTTACCAGAACTCTTTACAAACTGAGAAGCAAAAGGATTAAAGTGCGTATTTATATCTTCAAATATCCTTAAACACATTGCAGGAATTAAAGTCACTGAAATAAGCAAGTTCACATTTTTGAATGCTATCTCTAAAAATTCTTTTCAGGAAGTTTTTTTTTTTTTTTTAAATACTTAGCTGATATTGTTCAATCTTTCTTAAAAGAAATTAAGATAATGAGCATTATATCAAAAAAATTATAATTGAGTAAAAGAATGATACTTACAGGCAATTGTACATCTGACCTGGAAAACAAACAAACAAAAAAATAGAAGTTATAAGTTTAAAATTACTGGAAGCTCAAATAAAATCAGAATTGGTTTAATTAACACATGGAGGAGAAATCAGTTAAAAAAAAAAAATAATTAAAAAAAAAATCTGTTGTTTCACTCCAGACTTTTCAACCTGCAAAAAAGGTACCTAAAAATCTATTGACATAAAAATGACACCAAAAGTATCCCAAACTATTAGTGGAAAAAAACAAACGTGCTGATAAAATGTTAGTTACCACTTTTTTTTTTTTAAACCAACCAGTTTATTTTGTCACAAAACCAGCTTGCATAACATAGGCATATACTGATTATTTCGCACATATAAATTTAAAAACAAAACCTACAAGATCTTAGTTGAAAAACATTTTAGTTAGTACCTTTGACATGATCCCACAAAAAGCAGCAGATACAAATTAGATCTTTTTTATTCATAAGATTTTTCCTTTCATCCTATTGCTCTATAAATTTTAGTATTACTTCTCACAAAAGAATATTTTGCATTTTCTGAAACAAAATCAGTGTAGTCAAAGTTGAAAACACTTAGTATATATTCTGAAATCTAGTTTATATATGTGTACATATCCATTAAGTATCAGCAATTGCCATTTCACTGCAACCTGAAAGTACTCTGCTAGTAATATTGACAAGCACACCAGAATTTTGCTTTGAAAATGATTTTTTAGACTTTCAACTTCATGCTTTTGCTTCCGAATAAGCCATTTCCCTTCCTGTTAGCGTGCAAACTGGCCTGTAAATTGTTTTCTTCATCTCCCTCCAGGTGGCAGCACAAAGTACTCCTAAAGGAGCGAAATAAAAGCCCCAGACTGAGGTCTGCAGGCGCTTGAGAGGAAAACTGATTTCCTGAGACTCCTGAGCCTCTCATAGCCAACTGACATCAACCACCTGCAGCAGCCACTTTTGTCATGTAACAAACTGATTACTTCAGCAACTGTATCAGGGATTAAATACAACTATTCACCTTGTAAAGCTACACATGACAAGGCAAAAGCAAGTATGCAGAGACAGGCGTCCCAGGGACTGGCAGGTCTCCACCATGGTGCTTGGGATCCACAGGCCACGCTGCCTTGTGCCAGGGAGGCATGCAGACATGGGAGGTTTCTGCCTGTGCACCTCTGGGTCTGTTTTTGGCATCACAGTGGGTGCAGGCAGAGGCATTCTCCAGGTCTGGCTGCTCTAACATCACCTGCAGAAAGGCTAGTCCTTTGATTGGACCTTATACTGTATTGCTCCAAGAAAATCCAGCTAAGCTTTATGCCGGATGGGGCCTTACCTACACAAAGCATCAAGCCTGATGATTGCAGAGGTTGACACATTTATCTAAAGCACTTGAAGTTGTCTCATTTTTTATTTTCCACCCTGTTTCCTTAGACAGTTTCTTAGCTGTTTCTACAACTCCATGAGCTAACTCAAAAAAAGCAGCTATGTCACAAAAACCCAATGCAAAGCTTGAATCCCAAATCACTCGCTCCCCAGATCTCATGCTGATGGTGCCACAAGTACCTCCATCAGCAGTCGCTCCCCGCATCACAGTCATGGGCCTAAGCAGACACACCCTCAAAAAGTAGTCAGCGGATACCATTAAATCATCTTATTCTCCATATGACAGACTACAAAAAAGCACCCTCCACAAAGATGTGGCAGGTCAGTTGACTAGAAGCAACACTAGAAGCAACCCCTCCAGCTTTACAATAAGGACAAACGCAGCAGAAGCAAGCTTCAAGTGGAGAGACGCACTTCCAGCTCCTGTGACGGGCTCTGTGCCACAGCAAGAAGAGTTTGGGCACACTTTCTAGGCAAAAGAGCACTGGTAAGCATCAAAGAGCTAACGCCTGGTCTTCTCTAGCACAGCACTACTGACAACGCAGCACACAAAGGACATTACGTGGGACACAGATGTCCTACGTACAAGAGTGAGGCTCCTCCTCAACCTTTCTGAAGATTTGAGAGCCCAGCCAAACTACAAGGCTGTTAGGAAGTGAGCAAACATTCAGCTGCACTCAGGTCAAGAGTCCACAAATTAGTGGCCAAGGAAGAAGAGACTACAAAGGAAAAAGCCACTCTTAAGACAGGAAAACACTACTGTGCAGCATTCAGAGTAAAATTACTGAGCACTATGTGGAAACAGCAGCTGAATGATGAGCAAGAGGTGAGATTCCCTGAAAAGCAGGGCAATCTACAAAGATGCTATGTTTAACAAGAAAGGGAAATTGCAAAAAGAGGAACAAAAACAACAAGAAGAAACGCCACAGGACTGAGTAAGTCACAGTGATTTCTGCAGTCCTATTGACAAAACAGCAAAAGCCTGACATCATTCACAAACTGTCCTTCAGTTACTCTCTCCTCTGTAAAACTGCCTGAAGATTACAAAGTTTCTTGTCTCCTTCTCCCCAGATGTTGAGTTCAAGGGCACAGCATCCTTCCTGAGCAACAGGAACAACGGAGACATCGTATGAATGAGAAACAGGTACGCCACTACCAAGTTGCCTGCACCCCTGCTTCTCACCTCCCCATTTCTTCCCTGCCAACTCAAACAAGCAGCATGTTGATTCCTGTTTTACCCCCAGCTACAGCCATCTGAACTAACGGCAAATTATTACCAAGCAGCTAGAAACTTGGTTGGACTGTCACATGTGGGTTTTGCTAATGATGGTCAAACAACAAAAGGAAAGTTATGCTAAAACTGTCACATGATGAATGAACAGCTTCCCATCATTTTACTTGCTTTTGTTTATCACCCACTTTGACAATACCCCCTCACAATACTCCTCTGACTTTCCAGAACCCTATGTGCAAACCAAATTCAAAAAAGCACATCCCGTCAGCAGTAGGAAGGACTCCTTCTGAAACCCAAAACCACGTAAAACAAACGATCCCGTTCCCAAGCGTCAGCCTCCCTGACTCAGTCATTCCATGCTGTATTTTTCACCACAATCCACAAACTGAACTGTACTCCAGCCTTATGTTATTGCTTAATGAGATGCTATTTATACAAAACATTTATTTGTTCAGAGGATACTTGTGCTGAACACCTGATTCTCCTTGTGTTTGCATCTAATAAATCAGAATCCTTGCCAACTCCACTTTTCTTTTCAATTACATGAATCTGTATTATTCATGGGCACTTTTTTAACCAAAAAACTGGAACTTGGGGTAGGGGTGGAACATCCCTCCCCCAGAAAATAAAACAGCAAAATGCTAAACACTGATATTTCAATTGAACAACAGGATAAGCGTATATACACAAACTCATCACTGTCATCAGCAAATGAATCTATTCATGTGTCACACAGCCATGCTTAGAGCCCGATCAAAGACTGTACATTCCAGAGGAGCTGAATAATTCATCTGCACTTGTGCAAGGTCTGTCCTGCACTCCTTATGTGTGCAGTTTATTACTGACCAGAAGTTGGTGGTGTGTAATAGATGCAGGATTCAGATCCATCCTCCTCAGGTATACAGTGAGTTGCCTAATCGAAGAATTGTTATTATTATTAGTCTCACAGGTAATCTTATCAAGGAAGAAATAAGACGTGCTGCAGGAAAACATCTTCAAAAACACTAGGTGACTGAGAAGCTCAGGTTCCACTGATATTTGATAAGACTTAGATTAAGGTATTTTCAGGAGTAGGATTTAAAATGCCTGCTGTACACAGGAATCAGGGGAGCCACGAGAGCCAGTCAGCAGCGGGGAAGACAGTAGTGCCTCCCCTTCTGCTGGCCACAAGACTTTAGATCAGCTTGGCCCTGCTGCCAAACTGTACCCTACAACGAAGTTAGGGTTCCCGCACCAGGCGGAAAACCCTTGTCGACAGCAGCCCACCTGCCAGGGGTGCTCCAGTTTCCAAAATAAACAATGTGGTCTGGCTCATGTAAATACAAGGTTAAGAAGCTGGCTCAACAGTCAAAGTGAGCAAACCAAAAAATCCTAACCAAAAAAACCCCTTAGCCACAAATCCTTTCTGAGAATACTACTTGAGGCAGCTGCTTACTATTTCTTGTGTGTTCACCAGTGTGTGCCTTATGACTCAGATGCAAAAAGCCAGGAAATTAATCACACACCTGTCAAAGCTAACGATCTTTCACATGCATACCTTCAGCTCTTCTTTTCTCCACCCACCCATCCTCTCAGGTTTGAAGGAGCACCACAAAAACACCACCAAGCTATCACAGTAGTCTCCAAATTCTTTCTCAACCCTCTTTCACAAAAGCAACAGCATAATTAAAGATCATTGCCCCAGTAACCCCCCCCATGCCCACCTACCATTAGTTGTCCCACTTCCATAACTATGGGCTTTAGGGCAAGCCACAATACTGCAACCATCATGATGGTTTTAAGACTCCAGACTTCACTTTGCTGACATTATCAGTCATCACTGCTCAGACAACAAACATTAACCAGCAAAGAAGCAGTAGCTCAGCCATGCTGTCACTTCTGATATTTCATATTTGGCATAGGGTTAGTCAGAAAGCATTCCCACAGAAAGGTTTTATTTAAGGTCACACAAAATAATAACCTGGAATGCCACTGGGAAGCCCCACAACAATGGAAGTGGGATTGCCCAGGTACTGCATCCACAGACTCATAGTTTTCAAACACTTGCTATTTTTCTAGGATTTGTAAGGCAAATCCTTAAAAAAAATTAAAAAAAAAATTTGAATGCTACTCCAACTGGGGACATTTTCCTACTTCACTGGGATGTAAAGTCTAAATCAGCAAAGAGTGACACCTCCCTGCAGGAGACAACAGTCTCAGAGACAGGATGAGGCTTGGAAAGATGTAATGTTTCTGTCTCTTGCAACCCATCTCAGGGATATTTCACCTCACTTATTTCTGCATTATGTCCAAATTAATGAAGTTTGTAGGCTTACAGCACCAGGCAAGAAAAATGAGATCACCTGAGCTGGGGCATAAAACTATGTGCCTAAACCTGTATGAACCTAGTTCAAGTAAC